TTAATCAAATGAGAGTTGTCTACACCAAAATAAGTTTCAAATATTTGTCCACACATTTATTCTCTCACTTTAACAATTTGTAATTTGTGGGAGTAAATGAAATGCAATTTTTCTACACCAAAATTTAGTCTAAAATATTTGTCTGCACATTTATTCTCTCAATTTAACAACTTGTAATGGTGTAAAATAATTAAACGAGAGCTGTCTACACCAAAATAAATCTAAAATATTTGTCCGCACATTTATTCTCTCAATTTAACAACTTGTAATTGTGGGAATTAATCAAACGAGGGCTGTCTACACCAAAATAAGTCTAAAATATTTGTCCGCACATTTATTCTCTCAATTTAACAACCTGTAATTGTGTAAAATAATTAAACGAGAGTTGTCTACACCAAAATTAATCTCAAATATTTGTCCACACATTTATTGTCACAATTTAACCACTTGTTAATAGTGGAAATTACTTAAACGCGACTTGTTTAATCAATGCAACTTACCCGCAGACAGTGCACAACAGAGTTATCATTATTGAGCAATTATAAACAGGAACGTGTCTTGACATTAGGGTTAGGGTCGGGTCAGGTATGGGCAATGCAAATGGCAAACACCCAATTGGCAAGATGTACACTAACGGGTTATGGCATGCATATAGTTTACACAAGTAAAAACACAAAATTGGCAATTTTCTTGACAATTGTAACTCAATAATAGAAATATGTTGTATTTTTATATATATACACACAATCCAGTCAATCAGTTGTGATCTTGTGGTTCAGTTGTCTACACAGTGATCAGGAGGACCCGGGTTCAATTCCCATGCCTGCTAGTCTTTTTTCGCAAACACTAATTTGCAATAAAGGTAAATATGAAAACAAATCATTCATTTGCATGACTACCCATATGGTTCAGTGGATATGTACAATGTAGACAATGTGAGAGATCGCTGGTTCGAATCCAGTACGGTTAGTACGATTTTTGAATGCTAGTGAAAACATTGATCCTATGAGTAGGACTTAAATCCTATCATTTATTGTGAAGACACTTGTGGTACAGTGGACAAGACAGTGCGCTGGGAACTCAGATTGCAAGTTCGAATCACGGACAGGACACTCCTACAAGACAAGATATGAAAGAAAAAAAAACATTAACAGCAACTGTATATCAAGAACTCAAGTCAGAAAAACAGAACACAAGAAACTACCTCACATGGAAGCCAGTCGAAGTACGAACACAGTTGACAGCTGCAGGTCACGTGCAACAACAGAGACGAGGATCAATGCTGCTCTCCAAATGGGTCTCTTCTTTTGTATTGACCCCCTAAGGATTGCTAGTCCCCCTTTCTAACTCTTCCCCCCAAAATAATATATCGCCCCTTTTAGAATGTATTGACCCACAAATTAATGAGTACAGAAACTGCTACGTCATGAATAAATTAGCATAATTTAAAAAAAGTTTGCATAAAGTATAGGTACTCCTTCTGGAGTCCTGCCAAATATTTACTGCTGCAATATAAATTTTTGCAATTTTTTAGACTTTTAAATTTGCAAAAAGTTTTCTCTCACAAATTTAGAGTAGTAGTAGTATTGATGCTGAAACCTGATTTAAGCAAAGTATTTGAAATGAATGCAAATATAGCTTTTACAGATTACTAAATTCTATTGTTTCAGTGATGTTTGATAATATTGAATAATTATTTTGTGGAAAAGTGATTTCAAGTTTGACGGACAACCATTTCAAAATCAGTGATTTGTATTTCAATTATTACTGTTTTCTTTGAAATTCTCAGAATTGAATGAATGTCCTCTAGACCCTGGAGGATACTTCATCATCAATGGTTCAGAAAAAGTTTTGATAGCTCAAGAAAAAATGGCTACAAATACTGTATATGTATTCGCTAAGAAAGATTCCAAGTACGCTTACACTGGTGAGTGTAGGTCATGTTTGGAGCATTCTTCCAGACCTACCAGTACACTATGGGTGCATATGATGGCAAGAGGAGGTCAGGTAAGGAATTCACTGCATGGTGTAAAGCATTAGATTGGTTAATGAGAAAAAGTTTCTTAGGGACCTCCTGTCCCTAACCTAAACCCTAACGCTCCAGCTCCATAATGTTTATCATTATATTGTTTATGTTAATCATAATTGTTTATGATCCTCCATTAGGACATATACAATTAAAATGGGGGCGGGGGCTTTGGAGGGGTACGGTTAAAATTAGAGTTAGGGTGAGGGGGCCTCAAGGAACTTTTGACATTTTTGCCTTCGGAATAAAACAATTTCCAAGTAAAAAAAGTATTATTTTATCTGGGTATAGTTCTTTAAAAGTGTTGGTTTTAGGTCGCAAGTACCATAAAAATGATATTTGAGGTCGCAGCTTTAATAGAAGCTGCACCCCTGACTTGAGACAATGTTTCATGTTGAAATTGACAAATTTTGATCCAGGAAAAAGCCTGCAATATTCTGCCATAAACTTTCACAAACCAAACATATTTCAGAAAAAGATATACCTGATTTAATTTTAATTAACATTTTAATCTTTCCTGACGCCAAGATTATTCGAAAGCACAGTGTTAAAAAAAATACTCGGTATATTTAATGTAATATGCATTTATTTTTTCAATATTCTTTGTAACGGAAAGTATATTCTGACAGGATTTTCAAATAAAAACAAACATTAATGCATTACTTAGTAGAAAATGATCATGGTACGGCACTAAAAAAAGTACGGTACCCTGTGGGTACAGTAACGCAATCCGGCCATGCTTTGGCTCACAAGTGAATAACTTACTCGTTTTTGAAGTGTTGATTATTACTCAGTAGTGATTATAATAGCGCATGAAAAAGAAATTCGATGAATTGTTATCAAATGTAAGTAAAATTCTTAACTTCACCATAAGCGAATTATTTCGGTCACATGTAAACTATCGATGCGATATGACATCCGCCATGTAGTTTGAATGCACAAGAGACGTTACTTGAAGTCGCTAATTAACTAATCAAAATGCTGGATGGTGCCCACGTGTTCAAATTACCTTAGTTCATTTAAATATGTTAATGACAGGTCCTGACTTCATGGTGAACGAAAGGGACTTACCGATAATGTAGTGCGATCTTTTGGCTTTGATTTCCATGGGAAAACGACATGACGTTTTTTTTAAATCAAGAAATTAGTTTTTTTTCGAAAGATAAACTGAGCATTGAAAATTAATTTAACAGTTTTCGGTGATAACAGCTCATTGTCGAAAACTTACAAGAACAAAAGCAGTTTCACTGCGTGTTTGACATCCTAACACTACTGAACAATAAAGATGTATGCATATTTTTAGGCACGTTGTCGAAACAAATGAATAGGATTAGGAACAATGTATTAGCTGGCTGAAACAGTGGTCTTGTTGAATTGGGGGTGAGGTTAGTAATAGGTACTTTTCGTGTTTCATTAACACTGAAGCCGAAATCGATGGTGCGGTTACTAATAGGTATGCGGTTTATAATAGGATTTTAACGGTAGTTTAAATGAGCTATGGTAATTTAAACACGTT